TTCCTGAATTACACTAAAACATCAGCAGTGATGATGACATAATGAATAACAATAATAAAATATTTGATTCTCATTAACACTATTGTTAGTATTATCAAAAAAATTTTTAGGGCCTGCAAAGCACCATAGTATAGTCAAAGTTTTGCTGCTTCTCTCTTTGAAAACCATATACTAAACCCAGTAATTAATGAGTCTGTGTTGGTGATTGTAATTATTAGAAATTTGGGATCCATCTAGATGCTCTATATACTTTTGGATTAAAAGCTCTATGCTTTGGGATCACAGGCTCTATTTTTCAGACCACAATTTAAAAAACAATTTTCTGCTTGTGACATAAATCTGGGTATTGAGTACACAATATCCTTATTATTGTGCCACTCTACTGTAATCATAGCCTGCATCATGTGTGCTGGTGCAGTTTTTATTGGCAGTGAGAATGTGTTAAATACACTGAATAAATAAAATGATTAGCACATCGGTTGGCAATCACTCCAAACACAAACAAAATAAAAAAGAGAAGAAACAGAGCCAGAAGGGACCAAGAACAGAACAAAAACAAAAGAACAAGAAGAACTGAACAAAAACATGAAAGGGTAGAATATATATACATGTGTATGCAGTATGCACCTACACAAATCAGAATGTTCTAGAACTCTAAGAATAAGCACATGGTATAAGTAATTACATTTGTATAAAATACATTATTAATAAAGAAATCATAGAAATATTATTATGTTAACTTTGAGTTCACCACAAGTGTTCTGTCTTGAAATCTAAAACACAGAGAATTAAATCCAAGTTTTACTAGAAACAATGTAAAACATTCAAGGGCTCAGCCTCGTAGATTATTATTTATTAGCTGGGGAAAAGCAGAATCTCAACTTTATGGTGCTGCTAGAAAACTCCTGACTTGTTTTTTACTTTAAGCCTTGCTACACTGACTTTAAAATAGCCATAAGATATAAAAAGGCTGGCCAGTTTAGTGCAGTCAGTGACAAATGTGACATTTGTTTGATTTTCTCAACAAAAAGAAGTTTCATAGTTACTTAATTGCACCTGTAACCTTTTCAAGCAGTTGGAGAAGTCTTTGGACGGGGTTTTTGCCTTATCTTGTTGCTAGGAAGTAGGAAAATCATGACTTCTGATTCCCGTGTGCTGATCGCCATTTTATTATCTTTCGGCCACTCCCATTTTCAATGAAATATTGAAATTTAGAATCTATTGCACTGCTATGCATGTGCGGCTATATAGAGGACATACGGAATACGTACGTGTACAGACAGACAAACAAACAAACAAACTCTACTCATCTTAGTGGGCTTCGCCCAATTATTTAGATGACCTTGCTTTTAGATTTTTTCATATCAGCTCCTAAAAGTTTTTTGTTCTGGGTTCACGAGGTCCTGCATAAGTCCTTGAAGAAGTCAATTTCAGGGTAAAATTGGAAATCAAATCAAATTGAAGCCAAATCGAGGTATAAAATTATGTCCTTTGATATGTCTTTCTCTCCTTATTCAATGTGGTATCAATCAAGATATTATTAATGTGACTGAAGAGAATGAGTTAGTTTTTTTTGTTTTCTTTTCCTAATGTTGTTTTCTTTCCTTTATATACAGGTACTTATAAATTCAAAGGAAGGGCAGACCATTTAGCTCCAGTAATAAGAGACTCAATCTACCTGTGAGCAGGGAGGGTGCCTGGCAATGGTTTAAATAAGATGTACTTTTAAAAAAGTAGCAATACAATAATGATAATAATGCAGCAGCAATAGTTACTACTTACTACAATTTGTTACTTTAATACATACAATTCCATGAATATCAGATGGGTTTGTATCATTCAGTAGCTCATGTACTCTACATTGAAAGGCAAAAAAAGAGTGTGAGAGTAAGAGAGTTGTCCTTAAATAATGACATAAACCATATAGTCCATATATAATGAAGTATCTACAACATAATGCTTTGAGTAGCAGCAAAAAATTCAATTTGAGTTGATTTAAGAGGGTTTTGTATTGTTTAGTTACAAAAAAGCATAAGTACATCTTTAGTTATAAAGATGTACTTATGCTGTAACATTATACTAACCTATATAGTTAACCAGACTGTTTTAATCCAACCAGGGTACTCAATGGTGATTGAAAGAGCATTATGTACAGTTCATGTGACATGCATGCCACTAATGTAATCCATACAAGGAAATTGAGTATATTACAATTATTGATTGGCATTAAACATTTGTGAAACAGAATCTATTGTGTTATTCTATTCATACTTCTATTGATAATCTCATTCACTTTCAAGGCCATTCATATGTTTGTAAATAAGATTGTTATATTCACAAAACAAATTAGAGTATTTAATAATGAATAGGCAATCCTTAGCTAGTCTACCGTACACAATTATGTCCTTCTATCTCTTCTTCATATGTCTCTCTCTCTTGATTCAATGTTGTATCAGTCAAGATATTGATGTGACTGAAGATAATGAGCTGGAACAGTTCTTGTGCTACAATAATCCACCAGTAGTGAGGGACACACTTGTAGTATTATCTACTAACATCACTCATTACATTAGTGGTAATGTATCATTCTGTATGATCAATACTACCTACTCACTGAATATAACCAGTAATTCATCAGGACCAGCTACCATTAACTGTAATCAACCTGGTAACCACTTACATTGGCAAACCACTGGATTTTCTTTCATTTATGTACACAGCCTGACACTACAAAGGTTAGTATTTAGAGGTTGTGGTAGTTTTTTAAAGAACAGTACAATCATTGATGTCATTAATTCTACTGAATATCCATTTCATTTCACTCAATATCAATCAGCTGTGTTACTATTTCCGTACATTAATATTCTATTGATTGAAAATGTTACCATTACTTATTATTATGGTTTTGCTATACTAGCCATTAACCCAGTGAATGCAACAATGAATAGCTTAACTATTAGTGTGTCAAGGAAATTTGTTAATCACATTATCTCTGAAAATACATATATTGGTACTGGTGCTCTATTGTACTTCACTCAGGATTACATTATTACTGACATACACACTGTAATTAGTAACTGAAAATAGTGAAAGCATTAGCACTAGCCATATTCTGCAGTTTCATCATAAATCTGTTATAAGTGCAGTTGGGTTAACTGTTCTTTATGCTCAAATAAACTATCCAGCTACTGTTTCTATCTTTAAAACTAATTTTACCAGAAATCAAGGCACCCTACTGTACTTTCTTCATTACAAAACTAGCTATGGTGAAACAGTATTCAATCACCTTAGCTTTGTATCTAATGCAGCATCAAATATGGCATTACTCATGATGATTGACATTTCCGATACTACCAGTACTCCATTAAATATCAACAGTAGTGTTTTTAATGACACTGTCTTATATGGACCTCAATTATACCCATCAAGTGTAATTTTCATTGGTTTGTATAACCCTTCTTTAGGTAGTAGAGCCAATATTAATTTCAATAATTCAGTTTTTACTAACACCACTGTTACATTAGCAGGCTCCTGTATTTATGCTTTTGAAAATCAAATTCAAGGTGAAGTTTTAAACATTTTCCTTGATAACATATTGGGCTACAATAATTTTAGAACAAAAAGTGACTATAGTAACACAGGGACTGAACTGATTAAAATAGTAAATACCAATGGGCTTCATATCAGTGGATTCAATAATTTTTCATATAATTTTGGATCTATCTTTTATGTCAGAAGTACAATGATACATTTGAATGGTCAGCTAAACATCATTGGTAACAATGGATACATGGGAACTGGTTTTACAGTACAAGGTTTAAGTTATTTCCTCCTTTCTAATGGATTGAATGCTGCTTTTATTAACAATACTGCTCTTACAATAGGTGGTGCTATCTATGCTGTTACTGATCTAGACCTTGATAAGAGTACATGTCTGTTTCAGAACGACACCAATAACATTACTAACATTAAGATGACATTTATTGATAATACAGCATCAGAGGCAGGTAATTCTATCTACAGTAACACTATTTATGGATGTGAGGCAAATAGTGGCAGGATAAATTTAATGAATAATTCTAATACAATGTTTTCATTTTCTTCTCAGCATAACAACATTTCTGTACCACCTACTTCATTGTGTTTCTGTGATGTACCTTACAATACATCTAATGTTAAAAAAGAATATAATATAAGTGTTTTTGTACGTCCAGGTCAAAATATTCAACTTCTATTAGCAGCAGTGTACAACTATAGATCTAAATTCAATAATGTACATATAATGCAGTATGGTTATGCTGCAGTAACTTTTCTATCAATAGATCGTGATAATTTTCATTCTGTTCCTTCATGGCAAGTATCAGCTAATAGTGCGAATCAAGCTTTATTAGAAAAACAAGATTGCACTTCAGTTACAATAACACTTCTCAAAAATAAAGATGAACCTAATCCTTCATCATCAGCAATCATTGTATCATCTGGTTCATTAGGACTGACATTGAATGGTATAAAGTTGCTTGATTGTCCCATAGGATTTGAATTGAATGTTACTGAAGGTAAATGTGTCTGTTCAAGATTATTACGTAAACTTAGTACTTCCTATCAGCCTGATTGTCACATAAGCTCTGGAGCAGGTAACTCTATCTCTACAATTACAAGAACTGGTACAGAGTGGATTGGTGTAGCTAAGTTGTCTAATGGTACTGTTGTGTTTGGTGCAGCATTAAACTGTATTGTGTACTGTAGGTATAAAAGTGGTTACACTAAACTGATAGTCAATGATAGCAGTGTAGCAATAGCAGACTCTGATGATTTTAGTAACTCTGTACCATTATGTATTGATAATAGAGAAGGTCTTTTATGTTCACAATGTCCTCCTGGGTATAGTGTCGTGTATGGATCTTATGAATGTAAGCAATGTAGTAACTGGTGGCTATTCACACTAATAATACATGCAGTGTCTGGTCCACTTCTCATTTACTTGTTTTATATTCTCAAACTGACACTAACTACTGGTAGTTTAAATGGCATCATATTTTGTATGCAAATATTGGGATTTATTAATCCACCATTAGTTGATAAAAAAGGAATGAACATAATTGATAGTAGTTGGACTCATAGTCATTTTGGTTTTTCATTATGTTTATACAATGGAATGACAGAACTATGGAAACTTGGTCTCGTTTTGATGTATCAAGTTTATATATTAAGTATTCTGCTGAGAATAATTGTACTCAGTAGATTCTCAGTAAAAATCTCCAATAAAATAGCCAATTCATCAATACAAATCTTGGTTACTGGAGTTCACATCTCTTTCTCATATTTATTGACATCAATAATGGCTGTATTTACACCAGTTACCATATACACTAATACTACTGAGGAACCAATGCAGGTTTGGTACAAGCATCCTACAATTGAGTATGGCACACACGGTCATCTAGTACTAATGATCATTACATCACTGATAGTTGGTCCTATATTAGGTGTATACATGACTGTATTATTAGCTGGTAGGCCACTAATGAGGATCAATTACAGGATCAGAGAATATATATGTCCTGTATATGAAGCTATACATGCTCCTTACAAACGAAACAAGGAATTCTTTTTTGTAACACGACTACTCATAGTTATATTACTGTATGTGATATATACTTGTTTTAGAGGAAAGGACATTTTACTTGGAATAGCAATAGCATCACCAATACTCTCTGTGTATATTGCAGTTGAGTCTATGGCCAGGCCTTTTAAAAGGATGTCACTCAATATATTTAATTTGTGTCTCCTTTCATTTTCAGCTGTTATTTATGCATCTAGCCTCTACTTTATAAAAAGTGACAATGAAGACAGACTCATTATCATTATTACTGTATCTAATGCTGTTATCATTGCATCTTTACTTGGTGTAATCATTATACACATTTTATGGGTAACTGGTCTATTGGAAAAGATAAAAATTAAGTTTAGAAAGTATTGGTCTTATTGTCGATCACGACAGAATCAAGAAGAGGCAGCTCGTGTTGATATGAGTGGATCATTCTTTGAACCTCATGATGAAGTGAGAGAACCATTGCTCATTAACTGACAATCATTCACATTATGTGTTATGTGTTAATTTTAATTGTTTCTTTGTCAATGCTGCATACATAAAACTTTAAATGTCTAGCAGTTTTCCCATCTTAACTCTTGTTATTAATAAAGTTGTTAATTTAGCTATAATTGTTTACTTGTTATTGGCTATAGTGTAGTGATACTAAATTCAATGTAACACATATAGATCTAAATTATACATTTTGTAGCAACATACTAACAGGCTATGCAAGAAGAGGCATGAGATTGCAGACTTTCATTATATAACTTCAAAAAAAGTTATACATTAAGTAGCAGCAACATTATTATAAACCTATTCAGGATACAGAGTACAATAACAGAAGAACCTTTAAAACAATTAGCATTCACTGAAGGCTGAACGCTTTCAAAGCAAGTGACTCCAGCTATTGCATCAGTTGTATTAGATTACTTTGCAATGTTAAGCAAATTTAATACTTTGATGCAGTCATCCAGTGAAGATTCCATTCCATTGCAGCATGTAACATTAGATAAAAATACAGCTCATCTTTGCTTGCCATATTTAATAACATTAGGTCTATTTATTAATAAGAAAAGGATATACGCTTAAGTATTCTTACTTTCATCATAACCAAGTTGATGACAAACAACTAATGAATTATCATTAGTCCAGCCCTCTCCAGAAATGACTCTCCAAATGTTATGAACACTGTGGCAAATTTGCACAATTCCTTCAAAATTTTTTATAGCTTGATAGTCTAATATCACCATTCCTGCATCCTAAAACATAATACATGAGAAAAAGAAATGTAATTTCATGCAATAACTGAACACCGAAAGAAAATATTACTATACTTAATGTTGTGACAAATATAGCAATAAAAGATATTCAGACTACAGTCACAGCTGTTACCATCAATACAAATGTCCCAGCAGTCCTATCTTTAGTTCAAGTAAAATTAATATAGCCAGATTTAGCCCATTTGTCAAGGCTCACCTCCAAACCTCCACATTTTACATCAGAATAAACAATTGGTTCAGTAGATGCACCAAATGTTGAACCATAATATGCTTCTGGCTCTGTTTTAATGTAACAGAACAATATCTGTAACATGTGTATTAGTATAATACCTAGCTATAAACCAATCAAAGTTTATTACAAAATATAACTTGTAATGGTACCACACATTCAATCAATGACTGCATCATTAGTTAAGGATCATGTACATGCCAAAAAGTTATTAGTTTGAATTGTTTGGAGTTTAAGCACATAGGTTAAACGAAGTTAATATCCATGAACTGATTGCCACATGGCTAGGGTTGGTCGGCAGGCGTGGCTTTGCTGTTAGCACATTGCGTTGCTTTTGTTGCAATCACACTGCTGCCTGCTTGCTGCTCTGAGTATTATTGGCTGCTGGCTGCTCTGAGTATTAGTGGCTGCTGGCTGCTCTGAGTATTATTGGCTGCTGGCTGCTCTGAGTATTATTGGCTACTGGCTGCTCTGAGTATTATTGGCTGCTGGCTGCTCTGAGTATTATTGGCTGCTGGCTGCTCTGAGTATTATTGGCTGCTGGCTGCTCTGAGTATTATTGGCTGCTCTGTGTGTTATTGTTTCTCTGTCTCTCCCTTCAATCTCTCCCTCCCTCCCTCCCTCTATTATGTGTTTGTGTCTATTATTATTGTATTCTCCGCCTGTGAGGCGTGAAATTCGTATGGGCAGGGTCTTTGACCCACACTCCCCCTAATTCATTATTTTGTATCTTCTGTTGCTGCAAGCCTTAATGCTCACAAAGGCTCGCATGGTGGGTAATTGCCTGACCCGAGTTGCATAGGTAATGCAGCATACCTATTTATCAAGCAGCTGATTGTGCCACAGCTATGGTCCGTCCAAATCCTAGTATAATAATAGGAGTTAGTTAGCTTCTAGGGTGTAGGTTAGGTTCTAGGAGTAGGCCGTAGGATACATTGTTAGGTTTAAGTCCTAGGGACTGGGCGGACCAATTTGCTGTGTGGAGGCGGACCCCATGCTCGGGGGAAATGCAGCTCTGCTAGCCTCGGGTTCAGTTTGACCACCATTTATTTGTGTTGCAAGCTTAGGGGGTGTGGCCCATACGAAAGTTACCAACCCTACCTTCTTTCTACCCTTTGGTAGTTTGTAAGGTTTATATATATTTTTGAGCTTCATAGGATATTAATATGGTAAGAAGAGTAAAATGCTATGTTTATAAATGCACATACCATAGAGCCAACAGGTTGTGAAGGTGCTGTACATATATAACTGATGGACTGATTGAGAATTAAGGAAGACTGGAAGTGTGTGTTGGTGGAGTTTGGGGTAGTGTCTGAGATGATGGGTGGGATAAAACTGATGCACACGTAATATGTCAGCAAATAGGATTCTCAGAGCTAGGTAATAATAATACATTTAGTGATATATGGGTAGACTATATATCACTGCCAGACTACTAAATATAGTTGAGGTTACACTGACTGCTTGCTGATGAAACCATAACATGACAAGTGGTATGTCAAACACCTTTTGCCTTGAATGATTGAACAGTATGAAAGTTTAAAGATTTGTGTGTGAATAATTAATGTTAATCAAATTATAATGATCTCATCTACTTAATCCTGGAAGATGCAAAGTAATTTGAAAGCACACCTCCTGTCAAAGACACTAATGTACAGCACCTGATGCAACAATGCACACAGTGCCAAATGTCCATGTTTATTAAAGAAATCACAAAACTAAATGCTGCTTTGTAACAGCAAATAACACAGTTAAGTGGGAGTGCATGCTAAAATTTAGTTTATTATTTTAGTGTAGGTATTTCATACAGAGGCTCCTTTTCATTTGTGTCAAAACTGTAAGCTTCCTCTTGAAATGTGGCTGGGAATTCACCTTGAGAAACATTTTTGAGATCATCATCGTCATCATTTTCAACCATCTGGTATCTTGCATCATCAACATTATTCAGTTGTATTGATGGAAGGGGACGATTTGCAAGTCTTTTTTTCTTCCTAAAGCCCCTCATTTTTGACCCAAACATGACACACCTGAGAAAAGAATTAGTAAAATATGACTGATTGATATATGCACAGTAGTTAAGAGTTGGTTAACATACACAATGATAAGCAGGAACATCACCACACCAACCAGAACACAAAGTGCAGTAAAATAAGGATCCGTAAGGAAATTAGACATATCTTGTGTAGCCAATGTTGGTTGAATACTATTACTAGCCATGGATACTAGACTGGACACTACTGTACTGGATACTGCTAGACTGGACATACGAACATTACTAGATTTGGTAGACCTACTTTGCTTTACTGTAGTAGACAAGGAGTGCATAATGGATTTCTGAGTTGGCATGATTGTTTCAACAACGCAAACAACAGCAGCAATTTCATCAGTTGTATTAGCTAATTGCTTTGCAATATTTAGTGGATATAATACTTTATCACAATCATTTAGTGATGATTCCATTCCATTGCAAGAAACATTAGACAGAAATACAGCTCTCCTTTGCTTGCCACGTGTAACATCATGTCTACCTACTAATAGAAGGAAGTGTAATATTATAAGCTATACTTAAACCGCTCATACTTTTCTTATAACCAAGTTGATGGCAAATAACTAAAGAATTACTATCAGTCCAGCTTTCTCCAGAAATAACTCCCCAAATATTGTCAACACAGATTTGTACAACCCCTTCAAATTGATTATAGCCTGATAATCTAATTTCCCCATTCTTGCATCCTATAGTATTGATAAAATAATTTTATGCACAATATACATATTCTGCTCCTGACATTGCAGTCACTGCTATGTACTTACAATCAACACAGAGTGCCCCAGCAATTCTATCTCCAGTGCAAGTGAAATTAATGTAGTTAGTCTTAGCACATTCATTAAGGCTAGTTTCCCAACCTCCACATTTTACATTAGAGTAAACAATCGGTCCAGTAGATACACCAAATGTTGAACCATAATATGCTTCTGGCTCTGTATGTAATGCAATACAGTATGACTAATACAAGTATTAATATTACCTAGCTCTGAGAATCCTAACTGTTGACACACAACGTGAGCATCAGTTTTATCCCACCCATCATCACAGACACTACCCCAAACTCCACCAACACACACCTCCAATCTTCCTTCATTCTCAATCAGTCCATCAGTTATACGTACAGTACCTTCTTCACAACCTGTTGGCTCTATGGTATGTGCATTTATAAACATAGCATTTTACTCTTCTTACCATAACAATTCAAACTAATAACTTTTTGACACATACATGATCCTTCATTAATGATGCAGTCATTGATTGAATGTGTGGTACCATTACAAGTTATATTTTGTAATAAACTTTGATTAGTTGAATCATAGGCCACTTCACCAACAAGACCCCCTAAAGACATGGTAAATGATATGTGTAATGATTACATGATACAAGTGAAAGGCTTAGTACACAATATCATGCGCTGCCATAGGGAGTGCTCTGGAAATACTGTACAAGCACATTGAGTTAACACATTAGTACATGAGTTGACTCTTGTTATTGACAAACAAGTCATTGCTTTATATAGAACTTCTGGTTGCAATACATATGTGTACTAGGCTTATTATAATGGTAATTGAAACATAGTGTACCATAAAATAGCAATAGTAACTGTGTAATAGATATAGAAATTACAATGTATAATTGAGTCTTTGATTATATGGTATATATCATATTACCTGGCCAAGATCTTGTAATACATTACTAATAATGGTGATTGACTACTATTAAGACCCACGAACTTACAAGATGTGGCATTGTATCCCAGTTGATAGCAAGCTACTAAAGCCTCTTTGTGTGTGAATGCACACAATACTGACCAGTGTCCTTTGTAACAATATTGTAGCATATTCTGTTGTCTTAGTCTAAATCTTCCTTCAGCACATTCATTTCCTCTAGTTAATGGTACATTCTTGTCATTACAAGAGAGATTAGGGATTGGTGGAGCTAAGAGACATATAACACCAGCAGCTTGACTGTTACTGTAGATACTCCTTCCTTCTACTAGTGAATGAGTTACCTTGTTACAGTTTGACAATGATTGTTCCCTGCCATTGCAGAGAGCAAAACTGTAATGAATTGCTCTGTCTGGTTTACCAAATCTTGAACCTCCCATAGACACTGCACCTAATAAAAATCAATGAGCTCTTATTGTTTCAATGTCTATTTATGTGTACAAATAGTGCATTACATGCCATACGTACCCTCACTAGGAAAGTTCAATTGCCTACATATGACCATAGCATCTTTATTATCCCAGCCAGCATCAGTTATCAGTCCCCATAACTTGTCATGACAGATCTCAACTGTTCCTTCATTATTGACTGATCCACCTACTAAACGAACTGCACCTTCTGTACAACCTAAAGCATATGAACATAGATATCAGTGTATCCCCCTTTAAGTCTCTCTCTTACCATCAGTACATAGTGCTCCTGCTATAGCAATATTACTGCAAGTGAAGTGAAGATATGATGATTTACTGCATATAGTAAAAGTATGTTCCCATCCTTGACAGCTAAGGTCAGAGAAATAAATGGGCCCATCTCCTACTCCATACTTGCCATTGAGTGACACAACAGGTTCTATAAGAAAATACAATAAGTCTTGAAATGACACACAATATGTATAAATTATGCACAATCTTTTATGTGATAAGATTAAAATAACACTGTGGGCTATTATATACCAGAGTCTAGATATCCTAACTGCTTGCAGATGACCTTAGCATCATTAGTATCCCACCCACTGCTGCAGACTGAGCCCCATACTCCATCAACACACACTTCTACTCTTCCTTCCTGATATATTGACCCGTTGACTAAATGGACACTACCATCAGTGCATGAACTACCTTCTCCTAAAAACAAATCATTAGCATATTTATATGATTATAATGCTCACTATAGCATCTAATAGCTTGAGGAGTCGTGCAGTTTAGAGGGCTAGAAATGCAAGTTGAATATGAATATGTTGTTGATACTGAACAACTAGACAACTCTGATTCAGTAGCACGACTGCTACATGAGACAGTAATAGGTGAATAGCCTTGTTCCCAGGAATCCAGATCATCTAGAGAGATAAACCCTATTGAATACATTGTGTACATAACACGTTATACTTTTATACTCTTACTTGCAAATGGTTCATAACCTAATTGCTTACAAGCTACAGTTGCTTCTTTATCACCTAATGAACAAAATTGAACCCAAGCACCCATATAACAATATTGTAATACTCCTTCTGAATCAGTTGCACCTCCTGTCAGCTGTACTGATCCTGACTCAGAGCAATTAGTATTATCTAAAAAAATAGTTTAGATTATAGTGTTATACAAACATTAATGTATATGAGTTACTGTTATCAGGCTCTCCAACACATTGCACTCCAGCAGCATAGTCAGAATAATATGCACAATTATAATAATAATAGCTGCTGCAACTTGTAAGAGATGATTCAGAACCAGAGCAAGAGTAGTAATATTCTCTGGTATAACCATTAGAACCAAAATATTGCCAAGCATTATGATAATAAGTACCTAATGCATGATGTTATATTATATCTAAAAAAATAGAAGAAGTTCTTACTGGCTCCAAAGTATCCTAACTGATGACAAGCAACATTAGCTTCAGGGCAATCCCACTCCACATTACATACACTGTACCAACTGCCAGAATAACAATATTGAACTAGTCCTCTGCCTGTTTCAATGCCACCAACAATATTGTATAGTCTTATAGAACCATCTGAACAACCTTTATTAAAAATTGGAAATAAATAAAGTAACTCCTTTTTCTCACCATTAACTAGAGAAACAAAGAAAACAAGGAATAAGAAAAAAGTAACAAGTGCCATGTTGTGCCTACTGCAAAGATATAAAATCCACCTACTGTAAGCTATTAGAGCTAGCTCTAGATCTCTATCTATGGTATAGACTAAAGCAAGACACTCCCCCAATGTACCATGTAGATCTAGATCTACTGCAGCCAATGATTAGATCTAGACTATTCCACAAAAGTAAACAGAAATCTTTCAAAATTTCTCTCGTTATTGGATCTAGATAGTTAAGGACTATGCAGCTATGCTCATTATTATAAATAATTTTAAGGCAATCCATAATTTCTTACATTATAATGTTGAAGGTACAATTTAGAGTAGAATTTCTGTCACAAAAGTAGGATTTTTATTTCGTATTCTTGTTGAGCATTTGGAATCCTACTTGTCCTTGTTTCCATTACTTTTTAACAAATTGAAACAAAATGAAAAGTGTTTAATATACAAGGAATTTCAACAAAAATCACGAGGAGAGAATTCTCCATCATTTAAATTTTTTCTAATACATATACTTGTTCTTATGTTGTGTATCAAGTTTGAACTGATTCAAATTAAATTTGAATTTATTATGAGTTTCTAATTCCTAAATTATAATATTTGGCAAATTTTAATAATGAAGCAACTTTTAGAATCAGCCCAAGCTTGATAGATACATAAGACAAAAACATACATATATATCAAAAAATTTAATGGAAAATTAATTCTCTTTTAGCCAACAGCAAATTGCAATGAATTAAATCATAGTCCATGGTCCTTGGCCAAATTATGAACAATATAAAGTATCATTAATGGGAAGATAGCATTTTGCATTTGTGTATGTAGAAAAGTCTTTGTTGTACTTCTATTGAGTCTAAACAAACTTTGTGTTTAAAAATTTATAAATTGTGCTTACAAAAACACAATTCTATTTTTTAACTGTTTGTAATATGGTAAACTAAAACAAGCTTCTTTATGTTGATCATCCAGCCCTAGTTCCTTTAAAGTATTATTTTCCATGAGTGATTTTGTCAGTGTCATTACTCCATCAGTATCAATGTTAGTATCATACAAGTAAAGGTGGCTCAGTGTCTTGTTAGCAAGCAAAAGGTTAGCAAGTGATTGAGCACTGTTTGAAGTGATATCAGGATTAATACGAAGATATAAGCACTGAAGAGTTTTGTTACGCTGCAGTGATTGTGCTAGTGCAATGACTCCATTATCACTAATAGAATCATCAGATACTTGTAGAGTTGTTATTGATTTGTTACTTGATATTTCAGGAGAAAATAAAAGGATACTGTCACGTGTAAATGATGAAGAGAATATACTAAGTGTTTTTATTGTTCTTCTCTCAAATATAGTTGGTAGTAGAAACTGTATACTGTTAGATGATGAGTCACTGAGTGCCATTATTTCATGTTCATAATCCAGTTTACTTAATACCTCCATGCATTGATCTATTGATGGATTAACAAGATGTACACCATTATTACTCCATTCCACTTCTCCAATTTCATCTTCTGCTAAAATAAATGAAATGCAAGCATTCATTACATGTAGCAGGTAGCATAATATACTTATGATGCTTGCACACATTATATGACTGTAAAAATATGTTACTAACTTGAGCTTGAATCAAATGAATCATCTGTTGCTTCACTATCACCTTCAAAATTCAGCTTCAATTGTTTTATTTCTTGTAGCCTCTTCTCTGACAATTCCTTTAATGATGCTAATTCTCTTTTGGTATCTGTTATAAGTTACATATTGGTCAATGATAAAGCAGCTGATCGGCATATGAAAGCAATGTATTGTACATTGTGACAAAACTACATAATAAATAGGCTTTAAAGCTAATTACCTTCCTTTTCTTTCAAATATTGTATCAGCATATATTCTTTCTCTACCATTTCTTTTGTTAGTGACAATATTTTGTCTTCCAGTTCTTTATGTTGGACTATTAAATGATAGTTGCACCAATTATTAAATCAAGGGATATTATTTCTTATACCCATTATCATTTTATCTCTGTTTCTTAAAGAAGCTTTCAAATCATTAATATGTACTAACAAATCTTTCACCTCTGTGTTCTCATTCACTACCTATATACAACAACAAAAATAAATTGATTTATAGGGTATACCTAACCTGAGTAGTTTTATTATTCCATACAGTACAGTTGCCTACTGTAAATTCTTTTAATCCTTTCCATTGCAATGTATCTATCTTACCAAGGACAGTCATTATCAGTGAGCCAGTCCATTCGGCAGGACAGTAACAGGTTACTACAATTGATCGACCAGTACCAATTTTATCAATCTGTATATGGCACTTATGCAGTGGCTCTAATTCAAACAGAACATCATTGATATCCTGCAGTGTATACTCATCAGGATCCCAGTTGAACACAAGTACAACGGTTTCACATAAAAGACGAGATGGAGTAGCAACTGCTTGTAGCTCTTCATCAAGGCAAAGGCTAACAGATACTGACTTGCAGAAATCCTTAGCTTCCTTTTTGTATGACATGAATATTAATTCAGCTTCTTCTATGTTGAATTCAAAAGCTAGATTTTCAAGGGGACGTAAGTCAATGATATTGCACTTTCTCTTCAATACATTTAATACTTCACCAATCGTTTTCTTATAAGAAATTTGAAACTTAAGATCAGGAAACCAGTCAATAATCAGTCTCTTCACTTCATCAATGTTAAGAGTGCTTTCCTTGTTGTTAAAAATACGTCGAACTTGAAAAAATGTAGAACCGAACTTCATTCTCATGTCTTCAAATTTTTTCTTCATACTGCGAGGGAAAAGAATTTGATGATTACCATAACTATCTGCTTCTTTCTGATCAAATGATGAACCTGTTACATTAAATTAAGTACAGATATAACTAAACTATTCTATAATACTTTCAGAACTGGTAGACATAGATTTTTGTCGGGCTTTGTTTGTCAAATAAATTTCACTCTCTTCAACATCATCATAATACATGTGGAAATGCTTTCCTAAAACAAAAAAGGAACTCTAATACATAAAAAGTTTATAACTCACTATATTCTTCAAATATAGTATCACCAATATGAGCAGTCTCTGAGAACTTCCTCAATACAGTAACAAACAACTCCAGGTGTTTGTAATTGGAACGAACAGCACCTCGTACAGCTTTGAGGAGAGCTGCTCTACTGTGTAAGACAGAACCTCTGGTAGACATGACACAAGACAGAGCCTCATCAGACAAGACCTCTTCATGAAGCCACTCAGCTACCCTGACTGGTTCAGTAATTGACTGAGAGAGAGCACTGTAATTATTTCTCAATATATTGCTAGCACAACTTTCATTACCACCTAGATCTACTACCTCCTGTGGTTGTACTACTGTACAAACACCCTCTTGAGGAATTTTACTTTCTATTAACCAGTATGTTCAATGTGTTAATATGAAGTATATATAATATTCAGTATCTTACCATATTCACTCATCATTCCATTGGCTATCTCTTTTGCTTCTTCGATACCAGACAGCACTGTAGCAATATCTTTAAGTTTTTTGTAATCACTAGACACTGTTTCTTGCAAGGCAGTCAATAGAGTTGTCTTTTTGTCATCCCATGACCTGGTTTTTTTATCTATCTCTTCCATTTTGTCAAGAGTAGCTTCACTTATACATTGCTTACAGTATAACAGTTGAGACACTTGTACAGGAGAGACAAGAGCCTCATTCAATGATTGAATGTTCCTTTGAAGAATAGAAACTGCTTCACAAAATGGTGGTGTATCTAATGAAAAAGTACTTGGTATTTTGATGACTAAACTAGTCTAGATATAAAATTATTTATAGAGTTCAATTTCTGCATGCATAAATGGGCTAATCTGGCTTACAAGTTGCTCTGTGTATTTCCTTCAAATGCTTTTCATATTCATCAGCAAGTGTATTCTCTCCCACAACACTTTTTTTCAATGTTTCCAATATTTGTCTCCTACTAGCAGTAGGAGTAGTGGTCAGCCATAGATTGAACATCTCTATCATCTTGTGAGTGTCAGTGTGGCCAGTTTGTCTCTCAATATTTTTTAATGACTTTTGATCCAAGTCAAGCATTGTACCAACTATGTACCAGTCAGTACTAACATCAACATGTTCCATTAACTCCTTTATAGTTGGAGTAAATGACAAGAAAGCGTCAAATGAGTCTTCCTTGTTTTGAGCCATTTTGTTCCTTATTTTCCAGATTTGTAAAACACTAGAGTGGAAATGTAAGATTACTATAAATAGATCTATGGTATTGATGCTATATATATATATATATATAGTTATTATGTATATAGATCTACTGTTAAAATAACAATCATGTTTATTGTTGATTGTACTGTAGATATTACAAGCATGTGTGTTTGTAGTATCTATGATTATATGTTTGTATATCTAGTTATGAACAAACTACTGTTTCAATATCACTTTTACTGTACAATGAAAGTGTGAAAGCCAAAACTGCATGGTTGGCCAGATTTTTATCTTTGTCCCGTTTTGTGAAGATTTTTCAAATTTGTTATAGCTAATAAGATATATGTGATAAATAATATTACTACCCGGTATAGCATAACTTAACTAGATCTATTTGGCAAAATGTTTGAGAAGAAACTTATAATTTTTTTAAATACAATTTTGATTGAAATTATTTGATTTAGGCATTATATAAGGGAACACATATATGCACCAGAAAGCGCACCAAGAGTTTCCTCCAAGCCAGTTTGATAGGATGTATCATGTAGGAAATCTTATATGATCTTTGGTCACATTTTGATCAACTTTAATTTTTCAATTGAATTTTGAATGAAATCAGTGATAACACTAAAAACATCTATACGTACTTCATCAAGGTATCTATTAGGGGGCAAATGTCCTTTAAACTAGACTAGTCCTGTAAATTATATTTCAAAATTCAAAGTCTTTATAATGCTATGAAAAAATTTTGAGCTCAGTTACGGGTATGCATGTGAAGCAAAAGAAAACCATGTACTGCAGCCAAGAACCTTTAATAGTTGGGAAGTTATATGTACAATATAAATTTATGTGATCATTCCACAAAATAAGCAGAAATCTTTCAACATTTTTCTACTGTGCTTACTAATTAGGGATTATGCAGCTATGCTCATTATGATAATAATAGTATTTAAGTTTGTTGAAATAAATAATTACTTCAATAATTCTAACACTACACTTCTCTACTCTATAGTCCACAAGATCAAGATCCAGTTTTTATGAACTGGTTTTTTCCTGTGAGGGGCATTGGCGATTTATGTTTAGACTCAGTAGTTGTAATCCACATAGCAAAAATCCATAGCTTTACAGATATCTCACATTGCTGTCCTGAAAAAGATGTGTTAGACATGGCCAAGGGAGATTTAGGATTCATATTGCCCCACTGGATGGTCCTATTATGATAATAAAACATAATATGACCAAAGCGAAGAAAGTAATTATTAATATTGGCCATTGTTAAGTTTGGTGGTTTCACAGTAGACCTGCATACACTAAATATTATGTTAGCCCGAAACATCAAATAGCCAACTTCAATTCAACTCACAGTTAAATTTCTAAATATTTAGTACAGTAAATGGAGCATGTACATACCATCCTAAAGTGCCATCCACTTTGTCACCTAGCTGATCATACATTCCACAAAATTTTGCCATGGTAGTATTATTGTTGTAGAGGCCAAAAAGCATTCCTGCCTGATAGCACACTGGAAATATCATCATAACTGCAAGTGCAGTTTGACTTGTCCGATATCCAGAAAGAGAATCAGGGATTGGTACAGTTGCTGAAGCTATCAAAATAGATAATTATAATTAACATGTTATATAGAACTGTGTTAAACAATAGACCTAACACATGGTATGTACTCAAGGTACATAGCTGGGAGTTTTTGAATATGCATTGCTAATGGTATAATATAACTTACATAAGATGTCGTCAAGTGGTGAAGGAGGCATGGTAGAGCCACTGTTCCCTTTGCACATGCATACCTTGCAATTCATCAAATGAAATCTATGGTGACATTGGGTATATGCCTAAGTACAATGATTATATGTAACTCACTTTTCCTGTTTTATTTATAAAGGCAACAATTTCAATTGCTAGACAAGCATCGAATGACTCCGATTTATCAAGCAACATTTGAAAACCATCATAGTCAATAGATCCAGATTTTTCTTCAGTTGTCTGCTTCATTCTTTCAAAATGACATCCATGATAAACTATAGTGTACAGCAATAGCCCTTACACTAGGGCTAGGAAAATTATGCTTCAAATTATGCTTTTAGGCACTGCTCCAAATTCCATCCTATTATGCTTTGAAATGAATCCAATTATACCTTATAGTTTAAGCTTTACTCAAATATCAACTATCTAGTTACATGTACATGCATGTGTTATAATTATAATCCCATAATGCCAGAATCTGAAAATGTTTCCAGTGACTTTGAATCACTGCAAAATAGAGCAACCTAAGTCACTGGACTCACCACACTTGAGTGGGTGGGTATTAACTATTAAGCAGTTGGGTTGTTGTTCTAGTACCTGCACTACCTGCCATATTGAATTGAAATTGTTTGGTCAGGGGTATAGGATCATAAATTTTTGACTCGTTATGCTCCCATTATGCCAGCATAACACCTTACACTTGATATTAATTTTAAAACTCTTATTAATGATTCACTACCTTGTATGGGAAGCAATCAATGACTTCAGTAGCAAACTATTGCCACACTTAATTTCACTCATGCTGCAAAACTTGGAAGAAAAGACGTTGTTCAGTATCTTGTGAGCAATGGTATGAAGTAAATGTACAGAACATGTACAATGAAAGAGTTGTTTAATGCTCCTATATCTTTTAGTTCCTAGAGATTCTTTGGACTTGCAAAATGAAGAAAAGTAAGAAATATTTTGTTGGGTTAGTTGGTAAAATAATAATTACAGGGCTCAGACAGCACTCCATAAGGCAGCTTGGTATGGATATAGAGGAATCTGCAAGATCCTTGTTGACGTCAGAGCTTCTTCATTGAGAACTGATTATCAGGTTTTATGAAACAAGATTAGTCTATACTAATTAAGTATTAATTATTTTTAGGCTAATACTCCTTACCTTAAATCAATTGAAAGTGAAGATCCCAAATTGAAAGAGTACTTGCAACGTGAGTAAAAATGGTTTCATTTTTCTTTAATTTTAATCTTAATAATAATTATTGCATTGTGTAGGAAAAGAAAGAGAGGAAAAGATTAGATATGAAATTGAAGAAGTTGAAGAAGTGGCCGTTTAATAGAAAATTTGACTTTAAATACAATATTGTTAATTTTTATAAGGAATTTTTATGCTTGATAAATTTATTGCTAATTTTTATTATTCCTCCAATTATTGTCTATTCTTAAATCTTGTAGTATATTACTCTTATAGATACAATTATTCACAATCAAAAGATTCAAAAAAATAACCACAGAATCAAACATTTATATACTACAACACAAATTAAGAAATACTTTCACATTAGACCTACTACAGACAAGACATGCAACCAATGATTAAGTCTAGGCATACATTACAACACATTACATTTAATTAAAATTCAGGGTCCTATAGTAATACGATTCTGGGATACTACAAATCTCTACGAGCATGAGGTGGGCAATATGTTCTCCTACTTCTCCCCTCATCTTTCTATTTCTTTTCAAATTGTTCATCTTCTTCCTTTTTGCAAGTCTAACATCTCTTTTGTAAGTTAAATAGAAGCTTCATCCTAAAAAAGAAAATGATCAGATGTCAAAAATCACAAAACTATTTATTGAGTATAAATTAAAAAGTGGATCCAAGGCACTATCTGAAGCTTCCTGTTAAGTTGCTAAGGAGCATGAAGGCAAAGGCCAAGTGCTCTATTTTTAGCGAAGCAAGACCAAAATAGGAAAAATTACTAGTTACAACAAGAACAAAAGAGGATGCCAAAGTTATCAGCCATTTTTATTTGTGTGTGGTAGGCTACACATAATTGTCTATACATGATTTAGTATTTGCAATGGTCTTTTCACTGTAATAACTATTATTATACTAATTTAATTATTTTGGGGTGTGGTTGGACAAGAAGGGTAGTTCTAACTATTATGACTTTCTTGATGCATGTTTTATAATCTTTATCATTATCAATCTGAGTACAACTACAAACTGTCCTTTCAATATTATTATTGGAACAGAGGATCAGTATTACATCACTGGACTTTGAAATTACATGTACTTCATGGGATATAATAATAGTTTGGTCTCTAGGTTTAAACTATACCCTAAAATGGGAAATTAAAAAAAAGGAATGAATAAAAATTTAAAAAATTTTAACTTTTGAAACAGGGAGACTATCTCAAAATAAAATTTATTTCTAATTTATTTTCAAATGATATTCTTACAGAATAATGGTACATGTACTACAATAATATGCTAAATCACTAGTCAGTGATGTATAAAGGTACAAGCATGTGTAAAAAACTATTTACACTTACAGTGAGTGAGTTTTTCTTTTCTTTTGTCCTTTACAGTTTTCACAAACACAAGTCTCTCTTTCTCCATCTTTTGAAGTCTGGAATCTGGATTGAAGCTTCAATGACTTTTCATGCTCTATAAGGAAATAAGTCAAAATAAAAAAATAAACACATACTAGCCATTCTGTATACTTTAGCTAATTTACCTAGCAACGTTAATACCGAATGTACACAATTACATGAACAAAACTGCTTTATAACAATCATAGCTATAAAATATTAGAATATAAAATGGCTCATCCACAAAATCTAGTAGAAGAAATTAATTTGCCAAATTTTCAAAAGCAACCGTATTTTCAAGCTATGAAGCCTGCTATTTTGCTTCAGCACTGAGGGGTGTACATGTACATGTAGCTTGTTATAATAGCTTACACTATCACAATGACAATAATACAAAAAAAATTAAATGAATCTCAAAGCTTTATTACCCTCTGGGTCTCAGATTTATTAAGAAAAACTCCACGTCCTCTTTAATATGTGCCTGGTACTGTTTCTCTAGCAGTGAAATCTCAACCATTTTCTTTGCTCTTTCCATGTAATCAAACTGAAAAGATAGTTAGAGGGTATAAAAAGAAGCAGAAGTCCATAATGTAGAGGTAAAAATTATAAACTGATTACAATAATACATTATGTCTCACTCTTTTTGTCCTTTTAATTTGGTTTCTTTATCCCTTCTCTCTTTATCCATCTGCTGTAGTTCCTTCAACAATATCTCATCAGCATCCAGATCCTTCATATCCTACAAACCAACTAATGAGATTACAGTCACTATGACAACTATCTTACAGCTGCAGTAACATCAGCAAATGCTCTTGCTCCTAATGGAGTCTTTTTCAGAGTCTCTAACTTGTCTCGGCCATTTTCCTCTTGATTTCTTCAATATTCCTCCTCTTCTTTTCTTCATTCTCTTTCTTCATGTCTTCGTCCAGTATCTTCTGTTGTTGTCTACATAGCTCTATCTCTTTCTTGGCTTCTTCTTCCCTCAGTTGCTGCTCCTGTATGCATAACATAACTTTTAAATGACATATACGTGTTAAGTCACACATCTATCATGTGAATGATATAAGAAGCATCAGGTCAATGGGTAATGAGATGTAACTCTAGTCAGCACTGAGTGTTGGTACTCAGATGAACAAGACCAAAGGCATCACATGCTTCCTACCGATCTCTCCTCTAGTACTGTAGATTAAGATTTTACCTTCTACTTCTGAACATTTTCTAGGAACTCTTTACAATCCTCAATGGCTTGTTTCCTCTTTAGATATGCTCTGTATTCTGTAGACTGATTTTCCTGAAACTTCTTCAATAATTGTGCCTGTTCATTCTTGTGCTCTTCCTAAATGAGAATGACATTAAATAAACTACAATATAGAGGTCACATGACTAGCACATAATCCCTCTCACTGAAGCATCAGGTTAATGGGTGATGAGATGTAACTCTAGTCAGCACTGAGTGTTGGTACTCAGACGAACGAGACATAAAAGCATCACTTGCAACAGAGAGGGATAATCAACAGTGGCTATATCACACAATCCCTTCATTGTTACTTTATACCTCAAGATCTATGTTAAACAACTTGTGAAACTCTGTCTTTCTCTAGTACTCAATTAAGACAAGAAGCAAATGCTACAAAAATCAGCAAAGTATAATTATTTATAACTACCTCTCTTAGCTACGTGTACATAAATAGCCTCCAACTGTTTATTGTTTTTAAAAAGCTCAAGTACATCCCGGAATGACTCCAACAGAAATTTGACCCAAGGCATAAGCACAATACAATCAGTTCTATCTTGTGTATCTGCACTGTGTACTAACTGTACTGAGGAAGACACAAGTGAAAAGGACATTAAAAAGAACAACCAAGTAGTATACATGTGCACATGTATCCTACACAATTACACATACATCTATACCTATTTTAGATGGCCATTCATTATGTGTATCTTAAAAGGAACAATGCACATGGCTTTAAAATAACAAAATCATTATTATTTTTTTAGTTGATATTATACATGAACATGTACCTGTAAATTTAATTAGTATTATGTCGTTACTAATGCTTATATGTGGCTTGAATTGATACCACATTATTTTGGTGGAATATGGCCGACTGACAACTCATCTGTTTTTTCACCTTTTCTTTGTTTGGTGTATGTTGTAGCTTCTTTATTTTGTAGGGCTCTCTCTTTCTGTGGCATGCTCATGATTTTTACGGTTTTTTGTAGTAATAAGAACAATAATAAAAACTAATAATAATATTATAATAAAAAACACAAATCTTGATCATTGCTGTGCATAATTGAAAATGTAAAGTTGATGTGGTGAAATCATTAGCAAAATAAAAAAGTGAATGTCCCTATTATGATTGCCCAGTTCACAAGGATAAAACATCTACATGTATAATTAGGTGGCCTTAGTCGTCTCATTTCATGTCATTTTCCTGCCCTTAGCCTTTGGCATTGCTTTGTATTCAGTTTCTGGTTCAGGATCATGCTTTCTTTTCCGTCCCTTCAACTCGCCCCTTTCACCTCCTCCTCTACTTATCCAGTCAAGGCCAGTTCCATCATCACTCATCCCATTATCTTTCAGTTCTTTGAAAAATAAGTTTTTTAAATTCTCGTATTTAGGAATTTCCTCGTATGAAAGTTTATAAATAGATTCCATGTAACTTTTAAGGCATTTTGGGTATGTTTTTCCTTTGAAGCAATCCTTAATCAGATTAGTGGGAACATCTTTATACCTAAAAAGAGCAATATTAATATCAGGGACAGGGTTTTCCACAAAGCACACTAACTCAAGTGAGATAAACAGCATGCTTCATGAGAACCAATAATAGCACAGCAACTCACTTAAAAAACAAATTTTATTTGGAATCAGCTATACGTAACATAAGTATGTATCAGGAAAAACTGACAGGAACTTAAAATATAATTAGAAAGACTGAAGATAAAGCTGCACTCATGTAATAAATGATGTTTTGTCAAATTAATGATCACTTTAACTGTTAACACTTTAAGGACCCCTTGTCAAATATAGTAAAACTAGTACAAGCAAGTGTAGTCAACTTAGTAATGCATTCATAATAAACTAGAAAAATCCTAAAAGCATATGAAATACAGAGTAAAAAGAATCTTTAAAGCCAAAAGAATCCGCAATGAGAAATACAACACCAAGTTAATAGTCTCACTAAATCGGTGCACTTAGTAGAGTTTCCTATATCTACTGTCTTACACCCAGGGCTAAAACCTTTAAAATGAGATAAAAATTTAGGTAAACCTGAATTTATTGCCTAAAAATGTCTGTTGCTTTAAGGCCATTCTACACTTGTAAGTGCCAGATTGACAAGAACCAGTTCCACCAAGTAGAAGGCTTTTACACTTTTATACAGTTTAGTTAGCTTTATATGTAGTATGATTGAAGTCAAGTCAGAAGGTAACAAGTGCTTGACTTTTAGAGTTTCTCTGTATTATCAACAAAGAATAGTTTCATAGAGCATGATACTGAAGAAGTCTTGGGCAGAATTTCTACCATATTTTGCATATAAAACTCATTTCTTCTAGTAGTGTGTTGGTTGCAATTGTGTTTTTGTTTGGCCACCACCAATTTCAATGGAAGTAATGAAACCTTGCATTGCTAATGAATTCTGTATTTCCTTGAATAAAGACCCTCCTCAAATATACACCCATCACTAACATAATAAAATTAATCCACTAAGTATAGATTAATGATATTCATTGGATACCATAAAACATAAGATTTTTCAGCTGCAATTGTGGGGGCATAAATTATACAATAACCAATGGGCTAATAGGCTAAAATAAGCTAAATTTACTTTTCTATAATACTTAGAGCTGCTAATAGCTACAGTGGTACAGAAATGGAGATTACAGTTAGAATCTATTCTCAGCTCCTTTGCTCAGCTGGGAAAACAGTAAAATTACACCATTTCCCCATTGAAGACTGTACAAAGCATACCTCAATCATGGCAGCTACAACAAAATTTTCATTTACAGTATCCCAATAAATATCATTAAAAAATCATATCTCATTCATGTGAATAGATACGCATATTTTACCTGGTACATAGGCAATAGCCTACATGTAGGATTGGAGTTGATTTTTCAAAATGGCAACCGTTTTTAAAATTTTCGAACACTTATAACTCTTTCATCTTACCTTGTACAGCCTTATAAACAGATTAAATAAGTTCTTCACTAATCAATTGTCATAGTATCTTTAAAGTGGACTTTAATGTAGCAGGAGTATATCTGGTGAACAGGCCCAAATTCAAATTCCTACAAAATTCTTCAGACTTTTTCTTCTTTCTCTTCTTCTATCAATACAGAAGTCTTTTAAACCAGAGAACTGCTCAAGTTGGGTTTTTACATTATTCCTTCATGCGAGGGTCAAGGATCAGAAAGGTGGCTTTAAAAAAGAAGCAAGACAGGTGGGAACAAAAATTTAAGACAAAAATCCAGCTCAAGGGTTTGTGGTTTGACACCATTTTAATTTATGTGCACGTGATCAGCATAAATATACATGAAATTAAAGTAACTACAGAATCATAACAGAATGTAATTTATAAATTAATTTTAAGAAAGTAGAAAAAAACAAGTAAATAAAAAACATTAAAAAGGAAAAGTAGTAGGATTGAATTGGGAAAAAGTAAAGAAACAAGAGGGTACTTGCAAACTGGTGTGGTAAGAAATCCTACCATTGCATGGAAGACATAGCTTCACACCGTATAGCGGGAAATTTTGGAGGGAATTAAATTTGGCGAATTTGGCATGTTGATAGCCATTCACCAAAATAAAATCCGCCATTTTGAGCCATTATACGCATGCTCAATGGCACATGGCTACAAATTTGCCAAATTAAAATTCGCCAATCATCAAAATTTAGCAATTCGCCAAATTTTAGTCCCTCCAAAATTTCCCGCTATACGGTAGTTACAATGTAGAAATCTGTGTAAATAATTACAATGCTTTCGGGTAATATGCTTCATGTACTGGTGGAGGATTTCTTGAAATGCCAAAATTCTGAAAAAACTCAAGGAAATAGCCTTTAAAAATGGCTAGGATGAATTTTAATTTTTTTTGAATACAAATACATATCCTTATGCTGTGCATCAACTAAGAACTTATTCCAACTAAATTTCAATTTTTTAATGAATTTCTAAAGTTGCTCCAAATGTAATGTACTGTATTCTGCTCATGAAGCATGCTGTTTATCTCACTTAATAGCATACATTGTGGGCCTGGAACATGATTAATTGGTTATCACGTAATAATTAATGTCATTATTTTTTAAAATTATGTTGCTCGAACAAAATGGCAAAACAACACAGAATTTGGTCAGACAATTGAGCAAAATGGTCAAAAAAATGTCCAACTGTTATTTTGGCTCTGATTACTACACCAGTTCGCAGTACCCTCTTGTTTCTAAATTCCAAATCAATCCTACTACTTTTAATGCTGTTATTTACTTGTGTATACAGCATTTAGATTGTTTCCAATAGCCTAACTGTTCCTCTACTAACCAGAGAAGCCAACAACAGGAGTTCTATTTCACTTTTTGGGCATTTTAATTTTATTCACATGTACATGTAACTTCCCCCTCTTTAGAAATAAACACCCAGGCTCTTATTCAAAGAAATATGGTAGTTAGTGTCTAAGTGAGGCTTGCTCGTGCTTGGCCCAATTAAGTATTTTTCACCAATTACCTTCTTTTCAAACTTGCTACCATTGGCATATCATTTATATAATCCTCCCATGGTAGTCTACCACAAGACCATTGTAACAAGCAGTAGCCAAGTATCTCCAGATCTCCTCTGCGTGATGGACCTACAAATAAGCAATCAATATAAGTAGAGATTTCATTATGTTTACTAGCTCCATCGTGTGCATCAATGCTTGTGAATTCAATAGTGCCATCGTGACTACGTCTTGGATCAGGTTTGTATGGCTTGTGTTCACCATTAGGAGAATATCGAAAAGCTAATCCATAATCTACCAAGTACACCTAAAAATTATAAACAATTTCAAAAAATTGAGGATTGTTCTAGATACATGTACATGTATTTTCATTGAAATACAACAAAATTTGAAAAATTCATAAAAATCCAATTTTGATTACAATCAGCTCAATGCTTCTACCCAATATAAGAACATGTACCAAAAAATGCCCTGCTTCAATAAACATCCATCACTAATATTTTCCAACTACAGATGCACACGTTTATCCCAGTATAAGTGCCTGGGTGTTTAATCGAGCAAATACAATCATGCATTTCATAAAATCACAAAAATGGACACTTCTCTTTTAGCCACTTTTGGTGAAATTAGGCCAAAGCAGTGGAGATCCAAGTACTAGCATTATAGTAATACAGATCAGCACTTTGGCAAAAACTTTTCAGTGCTTTAAAAAATTTTTAAATCTAACTTGGCTTGGAATCAGCTCAAACTTAAAAGAACTATACCAGAAAAGGAGAATTCTCTTCTAGCAAATTTTAACAAAATAACACATACTACATGTACATCTTCAACAAAATTTTTTGAGCAATTTTAAACCAGAAACAGCAATGAAAGGAGAAATAATTAAGGGCCAAACCTGATCTCTATGAGAATATCCAGTAAGTATGTGAGCGCCTTTAATGTTTGCATGAACATAATGTGAATCATGCAAGTACTCAAGTGCCTCTAACTATAGAGAGGGAGGAAGGAAAGAGAAAAACGTAAAGAGATGGATGGTCAAAAAATAATTACAATAATAATTTCACTTACTATTCTTAATGCCAGATAGCAAACAGTCTTTACTCCAAACTTGCTCCCGGCTTCTTCAAAAAGCTTTTCAATATTGTCTCCAAATCTCTTCATTATAAGAAAGCGATACTGCAAAGATGAAGACTCATGTTTTCCACAATCAATGAACTGAGGTATTGCAAGATACTTCAAATCATGAGACTTCACCCAATCATTTACTGTTAGTAGTAAAAATAAACACAAATAAATACAATAAAAATCAGTCCTCACTCAAGTCTGAAGTGGCTGCTCGTCTGTAAAATGCTACTTCACAGAATAATGGTCCGTTGTCTTGTGGTTTCTGTTTTAATAAAAAATTTCAAATAATATACAATGTTTCAAAATGAATATTTGATCCCCCATTGGGTAAAGCTAAAAAAAACTGTCCAAAAAACAGACATTCGATAGTTAGTAATATTATGGGCAGAGGATGCATTACATTAGTTACATTTACCACTTTAATGGCATAACTGCCTGAGGATTTTGTAGTTGGAGATACTTCGTTAATCAGTCCAAAACCTCCATTTCTTATTGATTTCTCTAGCCTCCACTCTCTTTTAGTAAACCCAGAAAGGATTGTACCATCTGGCAATGAAGGTGTCGCTTTCCAAACTGGAAGAGCTGCTTTCTTCTTTTGAGCCTCAATTTGTATCATTTTTCTACCCTTAGCCTTTGGTATTTGTTTATATTCAGTTTCTAGTTCAGGATCATGCTTTCTTTTCCGTCCCTTCAACCCACCTCCTCTTCCTCCTCCTTCACCTCCTCTTCCTCCTCCTTCACCTCCTCTTCCTCCTCCTTCACCTCCTTTGCCTCCTCCTCCTCCACATCTTTCTCCTCCTCCTTCACCTCCTCCTCCACTTATCCAGTCAAGGCCAGTTCCATCATCACTCATCCCGTTATCTTTTAGTTCTTTAAAAAATAACTGTCTTAAATGATTGTATTTAGGAGTCTCTTCATATGACAATTTGTAAATACATTCCATGTATTTTTGAAGATATTTGGGATACACATTTCCTTTGAAGCAATCCTTCATCAGGTCAGTAGGAGCATCTTTATACCTGAAGATCGAGAGCATTATTAATATAAATGTACTTGATATACAGTACAAACAGTGTATGATAATAAGTGAAATAAATCATTACAATAAGGTAAACTGTGAATCCTTTTATTATGACCTGGGGTTACTAAAATTGTTTTCACTGTCGCACTATCTATACATGCATATATATTTATATGTATGTCCACAATTACATAATAACAATTCTTCTATACACGTGTTGTATTGGAGAAATACTTTAGAGTGACTTTTAATTGCAGGTACTAAATTTTTTGATTTTAGCAAGAGGTAGATCTTGCTGGTATTAAAAATTGCAATTAAGTAATTATTACTAATAGTTATATGGCATCATGATGTCATTATTAATAATTGCGGGTATTAATAATTGTGGGTATTAATAATTGCGATTTTAAACCCAAAAACAAAACTAGCAATTAGTAGTACCAGCATTTAAAAGTAACTTTAAGGTAACAAATTGAAAAGCATTTGCAACTACTTGCCTACATCCTTTATATAAAGTGGGTGTGGCAATGACAAACAAAATGGTGTTACAGATGGGACAAAGTACGTTTTGAACAGAAAGAGAGCATAGTGATATACATGTAACACCTAAAGACTTCTCTAGAAGCATTAGAGGGTAGAAAGAACCTCTATAAGTTTTAAAGAACCCAGATATGCATGCAAGATGGTGAAAACGTATAACTACAGGAATACTTTTATACTAATATATGCTTGTTTACATAGTTAGTGAAAAGCACTTAAAGATTGATTTCTTGCAGTAGTGCAATTACAAGTACCTACATGTATACCTAGCATAGGCTAGGCCAATGAGCAATAGCTGCATAGTAAATTGGTGATGTTTGATGAAAGGTGTGGCTACTAGCCAGTATCAATTAAAAGTGTGGTTTCAAATGCACACATGAATTTTGGATACACATGCCTAGTCAGGTTCAGCACGGTAGCTAGTTTTATGTGAAGCACAGGATTTCTGCGCTAGCACAAAATGAGTCACAATGACACAATTGATACTCACACTACCCATGAATAATATTATCATAAATTAAAAATGGATGTAAAGTAAGAAATTGTGTTTAGAAAGCTGAAACATGTATTAAAGGAGGGGCAGTTGGCAACCAACTGCCCCAGAAAATCCACTTTCCATTGCCATTAGGT